TTTTGGATTTTGAAGATAACTCAAAAACGAATAAAGAGCAAAACGCCAAATTTTAAACATAACCTTTAATTTATCCTTCAGTGAGCTGATTAAATTTTGGGCATAGTCGAAGCGTCTGGGGAATACCTTACAGGGTGTCGTTTTTTACTTTAAGAAAATAAATAGTATTGTCCGTATTTTTTTAGGCAACCCATTTGCGGTATATTTATAAACATATTTTATTTAATAATAAAAAACTTTCATCCGTTAAACAGATGGGAGAAGGTCGACCTTACTTCTGATCTTTGACTATAAGATTGCCTATTACAGTCTTGAGACAGTATCTGCGATGAGAGACGTACATATTTTTGGCGTTAGACCTCCCAGTCGCCCTTAGACACCGTTTACGACAAAAAAGTACATTATCAATTGAGTAATAATGCTTATTTGTTAATTCGTTTGAATTAAAATAATTATTATTTAAGGAAGAATGTACTAGGTATTTTATCTTAAAAATATGTACTTAAGTTGACATCTGAGATTAAACTTTTAAAATGTGGGATATGATGAAATATTATAAGACATTCTTTGTTTTATTTTATTTTCTACGAAATCTAAAGTATATTAACTTTTTTAAATAAAACAGTTTACTTTAAAATATGACGTCTAATCGGTACCATGACTTTTTTTGTTAAAATATATAAACTTTGCTCATTATTTTTAAATGACCTGTTTCAATTTTTAAAATTATTGATAAGTAGAAGTAAAATTTTCTGCTTTTGATGTATAAAATTTTTCATGCGTAACATAACAATATTTCGAAAAAACCTATACAAAAAATTATGGAGAAACAATGTTTTGAAAAATGGCGCCAGACAAGCGTACTGGAAACTGGAACAGGTGAAAAAAAAAATGTTTCTCAAATAGGCCATGACCGAAGATACAATGTGTTAAAGTTGAAATATATGTATTTTTGTTTTTGGTAATAATTTCACAATCCTTATCACAATTGTCAAAGACGCATAACTTTGGGCAAGGAATTTATTTAATTTATAATTTTACATTTTGATACAGGGTGTACCACACAAGCCATTCCTGATGATGAAATTGGGTCATACATTTTGATTAGAAAATAAACATATTTTTTGTTTAAAATTGTTTTACTTGTACTTAATAATTTCAACCTTTTTTCGAATAAAACGCAATTAAACACTTCAAATGTCTCAAAGTGTTTTCAAATGAGAAACAAACTCCGAACAATAAATAAAATTTCTTTTGCTGAAAGACTTTGCACGAATTAAATATAATTATTCAAAAAATAGCTTTTTTATGACAGTCACTACACAATAGTGAAAGCAGATGACCTGGTCATTCTGCAAATAGGGAATTTTGTGAACAATTATTATGGAACAGTGGTGCAAGGACCATTTACAGTCTACCAATCCCAAGAAGACAAAACGGTCCTTTTCACGAGGAAAAGGATGAAAATTGAATTAAAACCTACAGAGCTCCTAAACACAAAATAAAACATTGTAATAGAGGTGAAGTACCTAGCTAGCACCTTTGACAACAAGTTAACATGGAACTCACACTTAGAAAACAGAGTCAAAAGAGCATACATTCCTTGTGAACAATGCCGCCAAACCATGGGGCGCATCTGGAATTTCTCCCTCAGAGTCGTAACATGGACTAACATGGCCATCATAAGACCTATGCTAACATACGGTGCAGTTGTCTGGGTACCCAAAATCCAAAAATTGACAGCTATCCGCAAAATAGAACAAATTTAAATAACATCATATTTCAACATAACAGGAGCCATGCAAACCACACCAACCAGATCCATGGAAGTCGTTATTAGTCTCACTCCCCTTGATATTTACATCAAGGAGATTGCTCTGATGACAATTACACGCCTCTGCACGGTTGGAATAGAACCTGATTTACGCTCTGGTGAAACGAGACGTCGCTTCTGGCAAAAGGTGCTCGATATGCTCCCACTGCTACAAGCAAACATGAACCTCATCTCACCGAGATATATCTTCCATAAGCCATATGAAGTTATAACATAACAAATTAAAGAGCCGGAAGTGGCAAGTTCGATTCGTATATCTACACCGACGGTTCTAAAACAAAACAATGCACAGGATGTGGAATATACTCCAATTCCTTAAACCTCAACATAAAATGGGCTGTAAGCAATAATAGTGCCAATGTAGTTCAAACCGAGCTCACGGGTGCTCTCATAGCAGCAAAAGAAATCACCAGAAACAATATCACTGTTAGGAACATGCTCATCTATACAGATAGCAGATAAGCACTACTTACCCTGAACAAACTACGAATTAACTCATGGTTAGTACTAGAATGTCACTAGGCTTTGACAAGAGTATCCATCCAATGACGTGGTCACCTTAATATAGATCAAAGGTGACGCTACATCGAAAGGTACCCTTTTTGCTGATTCAGTAGCCAAGAAGGTGGCCAAACAAATACTTTTTGGACCTGGCCCTCCTATTGGACTGACAACATCAGTAATGACAGACCTAAATTGAAGGAGAGATGAGATGAAACAAGAAAGTTACCGGAGAGCTTTTAAGTTATCCTTACAACACTACAACAAACAAATACTTGACTATAACTAAACAGAAAAAGATGAGACCAGATCTGCAAAGTTGCCGCTATATTTGCAGATCTGCAAAGTTGCAGACGTTCTGTAATCCCACCGCAAGTCTAGATCTTAAAAGTTCAAAGTTTACTTCCAGCATTGCCGTTTGATTATTTAAATTAGAACTAATTGTTTCAATATTATTATTTACTTTCTTGTTACTACTACTACTATTTGAATCTTTAATGGAAATATTTAGCATCTGCTAACTATATCTTCGATTTCACTCATACATTGTAAACATAAAATATTTTGATAAAATTACTTAAATGTTATGTGTCTTCAATAGACTGAAAAATTGTGTTTGCTATGAATAGAGCCTAACTATCTTTGCCAAAATCCTTATACAGAGGGATTTGGAAAGGTAAAAAGGAAAGGCACTTACAGATGTTTTCCTTGGATTCGAATTCTGTAGTCTCCTGGTCCTTCTTCGGTGATTCACTGCTCCATTGCGCCGTTAACGTCACAAAGTTCAAGAAAGTTCGATACGCACTTTAGGGTAGAAACTCCAAGGTCTCAAAAAGTTACTTTCCGTCACGATGCGAATTGATATTTTTCCAAACCCTGCGCGTATCCTACTGACTCCGCAATAGCTTTTTAAAAACAAATTTACAACTTTCTATAACGACTTTATTCAACGACGTTAGAACAGAGAATAAATTATATTATACAAGATACAAGAAAAGATGATTAGCGTCGGCCGACTTCTTCTAGTCAGCAGTTTTATTATCAGCTGGACAATTTCCGTGTATGTAACTTGCGCTATTTAATAATTAAAATTAATGATATTCTCCATAAAATTCATTTTATGTATATTTTAAAATGTCTAAAATAATTTCTGTGAAATGTAGATGACATACTTGATTTTTTTTACTGTTCTGCAGCTCTACAGCACGTATATACCAGCCGCCACTGATTCGGACTTAGAACTTGCCCTTCGCATTATTTAACTAATACATCTTTTGTCCGCATCATATACTAGAAGGGGAAAGGGGTATGGTACGTCGCACTTAGACGTAGACTTTCGGGAGGGTTTATTTAGATTTTATAAAAATTATTTATTGATAACATCCTAATAACATACAGGCTATTTGCTGTTGCTAGGGTTGGTAGAACACAGCAAAATAAGTTGGGTTTAATTTGTAAAAAAAAATTCGTAACGGCATCCGTATTCAAGATACAGGGTATTAAAAAAATAAAAACATTTTTTATAATTATGTCAAAACTACTGGTAAAATTGTAATGAAATTGTGTACGAATATGTTTTGAAAGCTGACACATCACATACATTTGTTTTTATACCTGCCTCTCATAAAGGGCGCTAGTTACACGATTCGTACAGAGTAGTTTTAAACATAACTTATTTTGAGGTTGTTTTCTGGTCCTAATTTTATGTGAACTCAAACATCATTCAATTTTACACTAAAAAAGTAACTAATACGGTGACACCGGTCGTGAAATGTTAGTTCCTTAAATGCCAAACCAAAGGGTTTGTTTTATCGATAAATTCGGTCGCGAACATGTCTTATAACACTGTAATCCAATTTCCTGTTGAGCACATAGCCCTGGAAGTGGTTGTTTGTTGTTATGAGGCGCCCGAACAGATTCTGGAGGTATGGCATTCGCCGTTTATTTAATTATGATCTATTAGCCTTTCAATTGAAATCGACCTCGGTCGTCTATTTTATATATTAGATTTCGCTTTTTTGTTTGACAAAATTCATCGATTTGCAGCACTTTTGCAATTTTTTCAACTATAATATTAATCAAAACACTATTTTACAAAAAATAATCATGTTGCAAATCTGATATATTATTGAAAACATGTCTGGGAAGTAACTTGGGTACTCTTAATCGTCTTCTAGATCGTAAATTGGCTCCAGCAAGCAGCAAGTTTCCGCCGTATTGAGGTATAGAGAAAGTAAAAGTTGAAAAGTCTTTTGGTAGGTAGAGAGGGGGTAAACGTCAAACCACGTCGGGCGGCTCCGAGAATTTCACAGTAATGTTTACCTGCCAGTGTCGTTTCATAGAATAAGTAATTTTAAATTGTTATCGGCGGAACCGGACAATCGCATGTATTTATGGATTATAAATAATTATTAAACATGTATTATAATATTCAAATTATAATTTTACAAAATTTCAACAGCTATTCACAATTTATTAAACTATTTACTCGAAATTGTTATTAACATCTATAAAATAATTTTGTACGCCAATGTATCGTGTCCACTTCGGTGAGATCCGCTGACAACCTGTCAATTTATGTGTATAAAGTGGGAGAACTGGCAAAAGCATTTCCAACTTTTACTTCTGTTCTACTGGAAATGAATCGACCATACGTTCGTCTAAAATGAGTTCCGAGAGCTGAGACTGTTACGGTTCGATTTCGACATACATAACCTGCTACATACCGATCTTCTCTTGGATTAGTTACACTAGGATGCCCAGTCCTATGTCTCCAGTCAACGCTGTTAGTTTTCTAGTACAAACGCACTATTCGGATAACTGAAGCGCGGAAATCCCTAGTCTATTTGCAATTCAATGATTCGGCAGACCCTCATTATGTAAAGCCACTATTCTTGCTCTATTGAACACTGAAATTATATTGCCAAGTATAGTTGCAAAGAAAAACTCAACAATCACTTAAACACACAAAATCGACATGAACCACTTTTTAAACATTGGTACCTAAAATTGTGGGAAATTGTTTTTGTAAACATTTTTAGATGCGTATCAACGGCGAAATAAATAAAGATTAAATGTACAAAGAAGCAGCCATGATAAATATTTCGTTTTAATATTTACGAGAGGGTCCAAGAATTTTGGCGATGTGCGTAGAAAAGGTAATTGGTTTTTTAATTTAAACAATTTGAAGTACCTACTCTATACAATGTAAGATTAGATAATTCGCTTTGGCCATTAAAATTTTGATAATACAAACCAGTTTCAATAGATATGTCTCCAATAATCCTTGTAACACTAGTGTTATTTCAAGTGTATCAGTTAGAAGCAGCCCGAATATTGGGGGTAATTCCATCACCTTCTAGAAGTCACCATATTCCTTTTCAACCGTTATGGAGAGAACTTGCTCTAAGGGGTCACGAAGTCACAGTTATAACTACAGAACCTCTAAACAATTCTTCTTTAGATAATTTAAAGGAATTGGATATAAGTTACTTTTACGAAATATATAAGAAACATAAAGTTATCGAAGCTATGATTAGCGAAAATAATAGTAACTATGATACCGCTGCCGCATTAAAAAAAGCTTTCTTAGAATGCCATGAGTATTTGTTCTCTTTACCAGGAATACAAGATCTAATCCATAATGAGGATGTCAAATTCGATTTGTTGATCGCTGAAGCACAAATACCTACAATGTTTGCGTTTGCCTGGAGATTTAAGTGCCCCAGCATTGCGATATCATCCCTGGAACCAGCTCTACAGTTCCACGACTCTCTTGGAAATCTAGTCCATCCCTTGATTAACCCGGATCCCAATTTAAACATAGAAGATGATTTAAATATGAGTTTTATGGACAGGGCTGAAAGTTTCTTTTATATTTTACTTTATAAACATTCAGTTTACAACAAAGCTTATCCTTTTTATGATGTTCTTATTAAGAAATATTTCGGTGAAGAATTACCTACTTTAAAAAGTATTCAAGATGATATAAGTATAATGTTAGTTGGCTCAAATCCATTGTTTTATAATATGAGACCATCAAATTTGAACACTATTTCGGTTGGAGGCGGCATGCACGTTCAAGCTTACAAAAAACTACCTGCTGTAAGTAAATTTTACACATATTGATAATTTAAATTATATGGAGGGCCACTTAAAAGTTTCACTCCCTTTTATCTTCGTTATTAATTGAGATTTCGGAATGATTTTTGTTTTGTTCAAAAGTTTGAAGTAATAACTTTACGTAAGTTGGCTTTTTTATTATTAGTTTTATAAAAAAAATGTATCATTCATAAAATTTTTCATGGTTTTAAACCTAAAATACAACTATCAGATATCACTTTTTTGGAGCCGCATACGAGGTGCGTCAAAAAATTAAATTTATCTCAAGAGTATACCTTTATTTTTGACAAACCTCGTAGACGACTTATAAAATTTGGTATTAGATTATTCAATTTTAGGTTTCAGATCATGAAGACCTTTTTATAAATAATAACTTTTTTCCTAAAATTAATAATAAACATTTTTCCATATTTTGCCAATTTTCTTCGTAAGTTAGTGTCTGTTTAAACCAAAATACCGTACGTTCTCAAATAACCGAGATACGGGATTTGTCAAGAACGTACTAGTTTGATTTTTCGCGGTAGAACAGAATCCTGAGAAACACCCATTTAACCGATATCGTATTAATTTATTTATTTACTCTAATATGACTTAATGTTGGGAACGCTTGTTTAGAATAGTAGTAGCATTAGAGACATAACTAGTGTCCGACCAAAGGTTCGGTTTCGGCCTAAAATAAGCGTTTCGTCTGCAGGTCGGTTTCGGCGGAAAACTGATCGAAACTGCAGCCGAAACCTAAACTACTTTTGTGACCTTTTGTGTACTTTTGTGTACTTTACGTTTAACACAACGTTTTCTTTTTTTGCTTTTTATAGCTTTGTTGGCAACTCCATAAATTCGTAATAATTATATCGAATATAATACTATTTTTTGTTGCAAAAAATCCACTTCCCACTCCCAACAGTTGCTACTTTGTAATTCACATACTATTTTTGATTTCAAAAAGTAATAAAAAATAAATTAAACGACTTTTTTTAATCATATAAATAAATAGGTAATAATTGTAGCTTAAATGAACAATAAAAGTAGTCTGAAACTAAAAGAAAGTTTCGGTTTTGGTCGAGGAGAAAGGAACACATTAATTTAATTTTCAGAACGTAGTACAGGTTCAAGAAGTAGATATTTTATTTATACCTCATCCTTCAATGCTTATTTGCAATTAAAATTAAAATTGTAATGCATCTGATCGGCCAAATAAAAGTTTTCGTTTAGATTTAATCATGTTTCTATGGTTTTTACTCTAATAAACCTTTTCTTTTGACAGATAAGTCAGACTTTATTTATTCATAGCAGTATCGTAAGTATTTTAATGGATTCGAAATTTTGTATTAGTATATCCAACAACCACACACAAAAAAAATTAGTATATATTATAATTTTACAGTTATATTAAAATGGCGAGTGCATTAAAAAATATTGCAAACACAAGTACGCGTAGACGACCTAGTGGACATAAAGCATTATCTTTAGAAGAATAAATATCGTACTGAATGTATTTAATAATCTTCGAAAAGACTTTGTTCCACTTTCTATGGATGAAATAGCCACTAAATGTGAGACCTGTACTGGAGTATCTAATCGTACAGTGTATAACATTATTAAAGAATATACAGTTATTGGATAAGTCTCTCATCCGAAAAAGCCCCCAGGAAGAAACTAGACCTTCATTGAAACTTGGGTAAAGAATGTAATAAGGCAAATAGTACATTGTTTTTTCTTTCGAAATGAAATTCCTACACTCAAAAAAGCATACCCAGAAGTATTAAATAGCCCAACTCATCCAAATACCTATATCATATTTTTATCTGCAAAAAATATTACATGAATTACATTTTCGTTACAAAAAAACATGACAGAAACAGATTTTTAACAGAGAAAGACGAAATCATTGCACGGAGGCATGATTATTTAAGGAAAATAGCGGACGCAAGGAATCAGCATAAACAAGTATTTTATTTAGATGAAACATGGGTTAATGCTGGACATACAGTAACAAAAATTTAGCAAGATACCTCCATCAAAACTAAAAAAACAAGCCTTTTTGAAAGGGGTCTACTGTGCAATAAAAAATCCAACAGGAAAAGGAAATCATTTAATAATAACCCACATTGGAAGTACCTATGGATTTTTGCTAGACTGTTTATTAATGTTCTAGTAAAACATAACAAAAGACCACCATGAAGAAATGGATGTCCCTATGTTTGAAAATTGTTTGCAGAACATTATAAAAACATTTCAGCCAACGCCGTTATTGTTTTAGATAATTCATCCTATCACAGTCGATTAAAGAAGACACTACCTACAACAAGATGGAAAAAAGAAGATATTTCAAACTGACTTCATTCTAAAATATATTATAGACGAGATGGCCCGACGAAATGGAATTAAAATTCTCAGATTGCCTCCTTACCACGCCAAGTTAAATCCCTTTAAACCGATCTGGTCAAAATTAAAAGGTTATGTTTCTCGAAACAATACAACATTTAAATTACCTGATGTGTGAAATATGTTTTTAAAGGCAGTTTCAGAAGTAAATGAAGACCATTGGAGAAAATGCATTGATCATGTTAATAAGACGGAAAATTAATTTTGGAAAGTAGACATAGTAATGGAAAATTTAATAGATCCTATAATAATAGACCTAGGAAAAGACAATGATAATGTTACTAGTCGTTATAGTGAAAACAGTGACTTTTAAAGATAGTTCTTGAACTTTGTATTTTTTTTTAATCTTTGATTTTAGGTTCTTAAGTATTACTTTTAATGCCAAGAGATGAAAAAAGTTTTAAAAACATATAATCTAACTTGTCATTTATTGTTTAAATTAATTCGTTCAATGTTAAAGTGCAACAATTTTATTAAAAGCATAAGGTTTATTTTTATTTTTTGTAAATAATTTAACTTTTTTCATTCAAAATTTAATCTACAAAGTGTGTATATACCAATTTATATGCCGTGACCTTAGATTGTGACCTTATTTATATTATAGAAACATATTTTGCAAAGTAGGCCTATGGATTGTGACGTTATATCCCCACTTTTATTTAGACTAGACAGAACCATCCTTCTTCCGAATATATGACAGATTCAAGAAATGTGACACATAACGTTAGCAGATAAATTTTATCATTAAAACAAAGGCAGTGTTTAATTCTAATAATGAAAATAATACTATAAAACTCATTAAAATCAGAACCTGTGAAGGTACTTACATATCTAATTAGTGACTTAACAGATTTGAGAACGTATTCATTATTATTCTTACTTTTACTATATTGTTAAACAAGCATTATCTATTTTATCGCATATTTTATCGTATTATTCTGTTTTTTGTTATATTTTTTTATATTTTAAATGTACTATTTAAATTGTTTTGTATATTCAAGTGTACCATAGATAAAGAAGTGTACTATAAACAAACAAACAAACTGGAACATAAATATATCCTTTGTATCGTTTATATTTCAGGATTTACAAACATTTTTGGACGAAGGTGAAAAGGGCGTAATCTACTTCAGCTTGGGCAGCAATATTAATTTAAATTTACTAACTGACAATTTCAAGAAAGCAATCGTAGAGGCATTTGCAGAAGTTCCATACAAGGTTTTGCTGAAAATGGACGGCCAATTAAATAATGTATCGAAAAATGTCTTAGTGAGAAAATGGATGCCACAGCAAGATATTTTCAGTATGTATTTTTGTTGCAATGTACATATTTATAATTATTAAAGCAACGATACAAATATATACAGTGTTGGCAAGATCAAACCTGTAACTGGGAACTTCGATACTACTTCATTTCCTCAACTGGCATTTACCATTCACTCCAATACAAACTAAACGGGACCGAAGGTTTGATCATGCTAGCACTATATTTATATAAAAGGGTGGGCCACTCAAAATTTCCTCCCATCACAGCTTACTTTGATGATGGAAAGCGCATATCTTCTTTTTTTGTTATGCATTAAATTCTCTCGCCTCTACGCTATCACCTCTATTGTGGAACATGGTCCTCGACACCCTCATCAGCCGCCTCAATAATAACAGTCACTACATAATAGCGTATGCAGATAACCTGATCATTCTGCAAATAGTGACTTTTGTGAACACACTCTGCGAAAGAATCTAAGTAACTCTCAAAATTATAGAACAGTGATGCAAAGACCATTTACTATCTATTAATCCCAAGAATACAGAAATAGAATTAACACTTCCAGAACTTTTAAACACAGAACTAAACTTTGCAACAGAGGTGAAGTACCTAGTTCTTACCTTTGACAGCAAGTTGTCATGGAACTTACACTTAGAACACAGAGCCAAAAGAGCATACATTACTCACGGACAATGCTGCCCAACCGTGGAGCACACCTGGAGTTTGTGCCCCAGAGTCGTCACATGGACTTACTCAGCCATCAACGACTGGTAAAAGACTCTCTAGAAGACCTGGCAGAGCTTAGTAGTCAAAACAAGGTGACCTTAGCCTGGGTGCCAGGCTATGAAAGATATCAGGGCAACGAAAAGGCCGAAGAATTAGCCCGAGAAGGCTCAAATAAGGCCATGACAGGCCCCAAACCCTTCTGTAGAGTTGCTAAGGCATTATACAAGGCATCCATTCAACAATGGAATGGGAATGATGGAACAACTATCCAAGACTAAGACACGATAAGGACACGATATAGAATGATCAGGAACGCAGTAATCAGACGAAAGTCTACTTGCTTCAGGACTAAAGATACCTGGGACATGCCCCAGGATGAAATGCTAAAGAAGTACAGTCTTGTGAAAACTTCAAAACCACAGAGCTGGGCTGCAAGAAATAATGGAGCCAAGAATCCATCGCGCTTGCAACCGAAAGACGTGCTATTCAGTGGTATATAGACGGTTCCAAAACCATAGAAGGAACTGGAATAGGAGTTGTATGGGCCGAGAACCAAGCACTCCGAAAGCTTGGGAAAATACCCAAACATCTTCCAGGCGGAAATTCACGCCATCGAGAAGTGTATCCAGTTTAACATCGAGAGAAACTATCATAGACAAGAGATTATCATCATGTCCGATAGTCAAGCAGCCATCAAAGCGCTGAGCTCTTACGTAATCAGCTTAAAAATGGTCTGGAGATGCCTAGAACAATTGAATGAGCTGGGCGAGAAAAATAGAGTTACTCTCACTTGGGTCCCGGGATATAACTGGGTACAGGGTAACGAGATTGCTCAAACACCCTTTGTAGGACCTGAGCCGTTCTGCGGTATCAGCAGTAATTTAATATTAGGAGAGATTAAAAAAGAATTGAAAAGTAGAAGAACCGATAATTGGAACAATCTCTTGCGGCTGAGACAGGCCAAGATACTTCTAGGTGAATATAACCAAAAAAAAAAATCGGAAGCCTGCATCTGCCTGAGCAAGAACAGGCTACGTATTGTAACAGGGATTCTTACCGGGCATTGCTGACTAAAAGGACACCTAAGTAAACTGAGAGTTGTAGAGGATAGTGAGTGCAGATTCTGTGAGGGAGAGGACGAAACCTCTATTCACATCCTAAATGAATGTGTAGCACTCCAGAATCCAAGGGCACTATATCTAGGAGGATATCAAATAAAAGAGGGAGATTTACCTAACTTGAAGCCACTTCAAATCCTACACTTCCTTGAGAAAATAGGATTGGAAGGATCGTTATAGGCATTGAGACATTTCCTTAGTGCATTGGCGACAGAAAAAGGCACAATAGATCTTTTAGGTCGCAGTGTATTACACCCCATTCTCAACATAACATAACATAACATAACATAACCGAGATATTTCGTCCATATAAAGTTCAAAGTTAAAAGCCGGAAGTGGCAGGTATGATTTATATCTACATCGACCGTTTTAAAACAAAACAAGGTTTGGTATATGAAATATACTCCAGAATCTTAAACCTAAATATAAAATGGGCTGTGGTAAATAGTACCAGTGTAATTCAAACGAAGCTCACGGGAACTCACGGGGAAGTTACCAGAAACAATATTACTGGCAAAAACATGTTCATCCGTACAGACATCAGAAAAGGGCAGACAACGAATTTACTTAGGATTAGTACTAGAATGTCACGAAGCTTTGGTCGAAGTATCCATCAACAATGTGGTCACTTTAAGATGGATCAAAGCTCACGCCACATCTTGCTGATTCACTAGCCAAGAAAGCAGCCACCCAAATACCTTTTGGACCTGGCTCTTCTATTGACCTGACAATATCGGTAGTGGCAGACTTAATTAAAGAACATTATCTTGTGAAATTCAAGGAAAGATGGGACGAAAGAAGAAACCGCAGAGTTGCCAGGGAGCTTTTAAGTTATTGTGACAACACTTTAGCAAACAAATATTTGACTATGACTGGACATAATCTGTGCCTGAACACAGGCATTCTGACTGGTCATTGCCAAGTACGGAAGCATCTTCATATCATAAGGCTGTTATGATCCTTATTCTGCAGGGGGTCCGAATAAGAAAATTGTCCGACGTTTTCATTTATTAGAAAATTTGTATTCGGCGAGTATCGGCTAACACCGGCCGAGATAAGAGAAGCAACTCTTGGCGACGTTGTCAACTACATTAAATCTGTAGATTGGCTCACGAGCTAGAAAGTGTCTATCAATTTGGGAGGATGTTCAATGGGCCTAGTAAGTCCTAATGAGTCCGTGGCGTGGGGTAACCCACCCTCCACACGTTACAACTACAGATAGAAGCCTATATCTTCTTTTTTGTTATGCATTAAATTCACTCGCCTACATTGAAGTTGAGCGAGAATAAGAAATCACAAAGTAACGCCATCTGCATCTATTAAGAAAAATTAGTAAGAAAAATCAATGCCGGTCGCGGTCTTAGCCAAAGGAGTAGTTGTTTTCTAAAGGAAGACGGTCGCTCGTATTAATATATGACACATGGCTTAAAGAATTTATTGTTTCCAATTCTTTTACGTCTTGGTGATATTTATTAAGTTTCGTTTTTCTAAAATTGTCGCTTGCCTTTTTAAACTGGATACTACAAGCGAGCTTTGATATTGCTCACTAAGTGCAGATGGCGTTATTTGTGACTTCTTATTCTCACTTGACCTCCATACATGTAGGCGAGTGAATTTACCGTATCTGCAGATTCCATTAGGGACTGGAATCGACATTGTCTATTTCTTTCTGATACATTCTAATGGATGAAACCGGTCCAAGGATGACGTTCTCGTTAGTAAAAAAATCAAAGTTGGAGTGTTGAAAATTATTTCCTATTTCTGCTGTTTTCTTTGGATATAATTCATTCATTACCTGTTGCATGGGGGCATCGTCTAGAGCATGGAGTACCGCAAGTATCAGTTCTTGGACCACTACTATTTATAATTTATATAGACGATCTTTTTGACCATACGAATGATCTAAACTCTATTTTGTTTGCTCACGATGCAACTTTGTATTACCTTAATTTAATTCCAATTTCAGAAAACTTCAACTCAAATATAATTAATAAATTAAATATAATTCGGTAAACTTACTTGGAGTTTCATTTGTTAACTCTTTAGTGGTCTCAACATGTTTCAGATCTTTGTATAATTCTTCATCCGATGTCATTTCTATTTTCACGCATAATTGTTACAAAACCATTTTATTTCAATTTTCAGGGCACAAAAATATTAAGTTATTCATTACTCAAGGTGGTTTGCAATCTCTACAAGAAGCCGTCTTAAATGAAATACCCCTGATTGGAATTCCCTTTTTTGGAGATCAATTTTCAAACGTAAACAAAATGGTCAAAAAAGGATATGGATTAAAAATTGATCGAACGACGATTACCAAAAATGCACTTGTTACGGCAATCAAGGAAGTCATTCAGGATCCCAAGTAAGGGACTTTAGTTTTAGTTATTTGAAAATAAAACACATTATTATAGCTTCTACAGAATAGTTGAAGCCGCCAATGTTTTATACACAGTGAATAGAAGTGGCAGTAGCAGCTGGGTCATAAGTGTTGTAGAGCTGCAGAACTTAAAAAAATTGTAAATATCTCATCTACATTTCACAGAAATTATTTTAGAGATACTTGCATTTTTTGGCAGCTCTTCATTTCTACAGCACTTATGCACCAGCCGTCACCGGCAGAGAGCTCATTTCCTTGCGCTTGTTAGAGGTGATCGTTCTCTGTGTCGAGGTTAACTTCGCATCTCGCGAATTTTGTATTCCTGGCGATGTGTACCTGAGAAGGTTACCTGAGTTATAATAGGTATATTAATAGTGGAATTTGGTTATTAATAACGTACTTTCTATCACACTTTGATTTTCTATATTGTTCTACGGTTCTCTATTATTGGACTTGGGCTTTAAGATGACCACTGTGTCTTTATTTTCCAGATTAAATGGTACCCTTTGTTTGGTTGCCGTTCTTTTAAGCGTTTTATAATTGTTTCCTTCGGTTTTTCTTGTATTCTTCTTATTTTTTTATGTCTTCTAGACTCACTTGTTTGTTTATTTGGTCCTAGGTTCTAAGACTATTTATTAGACAGTCTTTTGCCTGTTCGTGGCTTTTA